AGGGGAGCAGCGCCCTCCTTCAGAAGCTGAGAGATGCTCGGATGGCACATCTCTCCTAAGACCCTACCTGCATGACCAGGTCTCTGAAGCAAACCTCTTCAGTGCATGTTACATGTCCCACCAATCCCCTCCTCCAAATTATGAAGCTTCTTGTTACGCAATTTTCTCTAGAATTCTGCTTTTGCACACACGTAATATTTTTCAGAACCGGGGGGGGGGGGGGAAGCGACTAGAGACAAAAAGCAAAATTATACAAAACATGGAAACTGTAAAGGAAAAATGAGAAACACGAATTCTATACGAGGGTAATCAGGAAAACAGCGTCTGCACTCAGTCCAACTTTTGGGAAACAAAATTCCACCTCAACACTGGCTGAATAAATCCAAAGTAAATAAATAAATATATTCATCGCCCTGATGATGGAGGCAGTATGACCTCCGAAACGTTGGTTAACATCGACCAGACTACACAGCGCAACAACCCAGAAGACAGAACTCTTCATACTCATCGCTGTGAAAACCTCAAATATTACAAATAAATTGAACCCTGCAGACTCGAACGGGTTAATCCGTTCATGCAGACTTCATTGCATTAACTGACAGAATTCAGAGTTTTTCTGCGTGGAAAACCTTCGAGTGATCTAGATTTATAGGATTTACAGAGTCATCAGGATGCAATCTGGTGGGAGTGAAGTGGAATGGGCAATGGACCCGGCGCCAAATGAAATCTTGACACGGCAGAATCCCAAGTGGCGACTTCTCAGATATCCCAATCTGAGGCGTGTACAAAAGAACCAACTGTTTCACTTCACTTGAGGTTTAATATGCGGAAATCAATCAACTTCGTATAAGATTATAAAAAGTCAGAGACACGTCCAGTTAACTGGCAACAAACATAATTCAACACGCAGACTGCTAGCAGGTGGACAGGCGGTTTAACTTGGCCTGAACGCCACGAAGCCTCTGGATCAGGTCCGCGGTGTCCGGCTTGCTGTACAGCACGGACAGGCAGTTGGAGATCACGTCAGACGCCTTCGCGATCGTAGGTCGCCTGAAATGTTTCCAGAGCGATAAATTGCGGGGATCGGCAAACAGATATTCATGTAAAAACGAAATATGCACATAATGAAGGTTTTGCCTACCTGTCAACAGCGTTCACCAGCTGTGGAGTGACAGTGAAACTCTCTATTAACTGTGCTAGCGCCTCCACCAGGTGAAACTCGTTACCTTCTGTCAACCAGACGCGCTCATTGGCAGCAATCAATCTGAACGGCAGAAGTGAAAAGTTAAGTTGAGCACGTACAGGGAGGAACTGCCTGGTGAAAAGTGTACGTGTACACATTTGTGCTGCATTGACACAAAAGAGTTTAGTCTTTAAACATGCACGTAACACACGAGCCACTCAGTCTGCTACTGTCTGTTAAGACGCGTGGCACACTGCCCTCTGCAACGCACATAACTTCGCATGCAGTCCATTATACCACATGACGGCAACGGCCGGGAGAAAGTTGAAGGACTGAGAAATCAGATATGAAATATTTTAACAAAAGTGCGATGGAATTCCTACTCGACATTACAGTCACGTACGAGTCAACACCAGAAAGCAGCGTGTAGGGGCTGAGCGACGCAGCAAGAAGACTCGAGCGGTAAGACATAGTAAACATTCGCGGGTACCATCAGGGGCAAAGCCCTGCAGTAGCGACAGTGGCAATGTCAGACCGCCGTTATCTTCGGCGTTCATTCTTTTGTAGTACCAAGTGTTTTCTTCATCTCCTTGAACATTGCATGATGGACCAACACACCAATCTGATCCACACTTACCTTCTTCTGTTGCTCTGTTCTAGTCTCTCAAATATTTAAACAATTTTAACTTAAACGTGACAATACGTAACATGAAAGAAACTGAAAGAGAACGTTAATGGAACGCAACAAATATCAGATTTTCTCCATTCCCACATTGCACAGATGCGACTAGCACGTGCACAAATACAGTGTAATGTGAAGACGACAACAACACGCACTTCTGTCTGCACAATGGATCCAATTTCTGAATGCAATACCGCAATAAGATTACAACTTAAGCAGTGTATCATGTGACCTCACCTCTCATAAACATCCATCAGCATCATCAGCGGAACACCGAGAGCAAGCATCGTGCTGTGCACGTGTACAGTGTCAGCATGTAGTCTACACGCCTTCAGTTCCAGCTGGCGCACCAGAAATGCTGAAACATTTACCAGAAAACCACCAATGCCTCAAAATTCCCTTGGGTCACTGTTGCACTAACGTGCCCTGATATCGCTAATACACAAAAGCCTGCTCCGAGAATGCCCTTGGGTCACTGTTGCACTAACGTGCTCTGATATCGCTAATGCACAAAAGCGTGCTCCAAGAATGATCTCCCCACTTAATGGTAACTGAACCTTGTCGTGGTGGTGGGGCTTGAGTACCTCAGTGATCCCAAGAGCTACTGGTAGGGCCTCCCTAGCCAGATTGGTCGAGGGGGAGAGGTCAGACTAAGACAGGTACCGTGGTCCTCCAGGTTGAGGGTTGGTCGCAAGGCTAACAACCTTGCACCATAAAAAGGAAGACACTTCGAAACCTCGATCGAAGCCTCGGACAGACGGACCTAACAGAGGACCGAATGGAAGAGGAGAATTGAGGAGGTCATGGACCGAATACAGACCGGAGAGCCATAGAAGAAGAAGAGGAATAATCTTTGTTACCACTGCTGTCTCCTAGCAATCAGACGCCACTGTTGTGGAACAATGGCCCTTGGTCACGCGCGTTGACTACCGCCAAGAAAAACGCGAGACGTGAATGTGTGGGCCTTTCAAGAGTTCTGTCACTTGCTCGCTCTGTGGTGCACGACTCTCGCCCGAAAACCAAAGTTATACACCGCAGTGTCAGAATACTCACGGACTGGGAAGCAGCGCGGTGAGCCGGCATACTCCTGTCCGAGGGACCTCATCTTGCCCATGAGAACCGTCATCTTGTCATTTGGGCCGATAGATGTGCAAGCCTGCAGCTCAGCCTCAATGATGTGGAGCCAGATTGTCTCGACCAGCGCAAGGTCACAGTGGCCTGAGCAGTGGATGATCGCCAGCTTGCACTGCCACAGGTTGAACGGCTCAGCAAACTCCTCATAGAGCTGGAAGACACAGGTTTGATTCATCTTATGTTTGTACGATACTGCAGTAAACAGTCCCAGGGCACCATAAAAGATGTGTGATTTTACGTGTCAACATTTTAAGGAAACACTGATGTCTGCCCACTAGTCCAGGAGGCATTACGACTCAGAACAGTGCTGACAACACAGAGAACCTCAGATCTCACATCCATTTCCTGTTAGTTTGAGGCAGACAAATGATCAGGTGCTGAGTAACCTCACTTAGATCTGTGGCTGGCAATTCTGGGATACCTGTGTGATCTCTAGTAGGTTGGAGTTGAGACGCTGGATCGCATCTTCGGCCAGGTGGTGACGTCCCTTCAGCTTTATGACTGCCTCCAGCACCTGCAAATATGTCGAATTCTGTTGTGTGACCAAAAACTTCTGATTCCGGATGAACTTCATCTGCCTCATTTCACATTCACCGTAAAGAGAGCGTCAATCACAGTTCCTCACCTGCTGCTGGATACGGGCAACATCGATCTTATCCTCCAGTTCCCGCAGGAACACTCCCAACTGTGGGGCATAGCCCACCTGATCACTCCTCATACACACCACTGCACGGGCTAAGTACTCTATTCGCTGAAGCAGCGTAACAGATGAACTGCAAACCGAAAATTTATATTTGTATTTAAATTATGTCTCACAAATGACATATAAACGTTACACAGAAATTTCATCCTGACTGATGGCGAATAAAAGTAGCACAGTACGAAAAGAGCTTGCATGCCGTTGATCCTGACTGATGGCGAATAAAAGTAGCGCAGTACAAAAAGAGCTTGCATGCCGTTCTATGTCGGAAACTCTCACAGGACAACGCGACCAAATTTCTAACTTCTCAAACAAATTTTAGTGTGCATTAAGTGTAGGCTTCTAAATTTCATAATAAATATTTAAGGAGATAGAAATAAACTGACATAAATATGAAGAACAGAAGGAAAGGAAACGAGGGATGAAGAAGAAATCAAGGCATAAAAGTGAGTTACTGGCAAAAGAAAAGGAGGAGGGGGGAGCGGGGGTGGACCAAACAGATCCACAAGAGAAAGGACAACTCACCCACGTCGAGTGGCAAGCATGTGCAGCGTCTTGGCAGCTGATGCGTGCTTCAGGTTCTTCTCATAGTACTTCCAGAGCAGATCGCACACCTCAGGACTCCGCTCTGATGTGCGCAGAAGGTACATCTCCAGGCTGGGCTGGTGTACTGCAATCAGATCCCCAGTCAGCTGCTTGCTCACCATCCAATCGAACACGGCCACGTGCATCAACTCATCCTGTGACTGCAGCGCAGACTGAACCAGCCGGTTGACCTGCAAACCAACTCAGGTCTTCAATCTGGCACACAGATCTTATCAAACAGCATTCCTTCTCAAAGTGATGACTGCACAACTGTCAGTTATCGAACATCGCGCACTTCCAATTTACAAGCGCACCTCAATATTCGAAGTTATCAAGAAAAATTATGCGAATAAAACTATACTCACGAACACAAATGACAGCAGCTGAGTACTGGATGTTTCTGTGCATCTACTGTCATGAGCCCTCATGAGCTAATTGGCTTCAGAAAGTTAATGCGTAAACTATTAAGTTACCTCAAGCGCGAAGCAGGCACCATCTACACACACGTATACATGTATTTTTCTCTATGCCATGGGCCTTTGTTTGTGTCAGTCACTTTAATACTAACTGGTGTCATCTGTCATCCCCGCTACATGAGACTTGAGTGGCACACGCTTGGCTCCAGCGACGTAAGATGTGCGTCAGAGCCAGTTCCACCAAATGAGACACGAGTGAAGACTAAAATGGCCGAATGCTTGTATCTTGACAGTCAAGTCTAGCGCAAGTACTACCCCGCTATTACGCAAAAACTGAAGAACACAATACTGACAGATCTTCACTCACTTGGTCACTGGCTTCGCTCTGAGAGAGCGGCACAGCGTCTTGCGACGTGGGTATGCCGGGACAGACTGGCACACTTGGGGCATAGCTACTGGAATTTCTCTGGTCATATAAGTGGTTAAGCACAGAAGTCACCTGTTTGTAGCACTCCATCCTGCAAAAGAGAGTTCTATGTTTCAAGACAATAACAGCAAACTAAAAGTCAGCCCTGCACTGGACTTCAGACTCACTGGGGGCACGCCTTCAACACAACATGATGCACCTACTGCATCCCACCATTTTACCATTTTCAGTCACTGCAAGGATACATAATATTATGTTTCCTACCCAATTTTCTTTATCATCTTCAAAATGCTTACATTTCACTAATAAAGACAAAAATTCTGTCGTTCCCATGCTATGCGGCACGAGGAGATACACACACACACAGAGATGTGTCAGTACACTCCACATGCTCTTACATTTGTCACTAAATGAGTGGTCACCTTACTCTCAGTATGTATAGGAAGACCACAAAGTCTGGTGTAAAAGGCGATATATGTGCCCATGATCAGAATCCGACCACGACATTACATTTCAAGGAAGAACGTTCAGCTAGACGAAGTGTAAAGTTTACCTCTTGACATATGCTTGGTAGCCCTCGGTGTCTTCGGCAGGCTCCTTGTTTTTGTAGTAGTGTAATCCAACATTCTTGGGGTCTACTTTGGACGCACACACAAGAGCCAGGTCCAGCACTCCCTCATAGAACTGACTGCTGTTGAACCACTGGCACATGATCTGCAAGTTGGCCTGCTGAGCCACACTCCTGCACAGCTGTAACCAGGAAATCGGTCATGTAGCAGCCCGCGGATAATCACAACAATGAGGGAAACCCCCGCTCGGACTTCCCGCACAGTAATAATTATATTGCAACATTTGGTGCAAACTGAAAGGGTGTATGCTGGCATCACCCACTGCTAGGTTTTGTTAACGGAAGGACACAAAAACTGTGACATTTCAGAGTTAAGTTTTCAGCGACTACAGATGCTTTTCACAAAAATGTAACTAGAAATGAACGGAAGACAAATAAAAGTCCAAGACCTGCAGAGCCTCCCGCAGTTTCGCCTCCCGTTCCTCCGGGTTCTTGATGCTTTTTGCACTCAGCAGCATCTCATTCGCCTGCAACAAAATAAACACAAAAACAGACTCTCAGTTGAGATCAAGATATCAGGAGGCCGTGATAAAAGCTTCAAGCAAACTGCCGTTACCTTCGAACAGGCAGCATCTTCATTCCTATAGAGACTGGGACACACCTCGCGTAGCTTGGAGCTAATTGCATCCACAGACGCATGGTCATTTAGGTACCTGCACACATGAAAGCAAGAAACCTCAAGATTCCTACAACGCAAGCCGTGACACACAGCCTATGGTTAGATTTATTTAATGACGCTGTTGGTAGCTTAAATTATATAGCCCCTAGTCGTAAGATGATGATGAATACCACATTGGGAAACACATAGAATGGAGGGGTCATGGCCTTATTTAGGATGCTATCCCAGCATTTCCCTGGAGGGACTGAGGTATATTATGAAAACCTCCGTCACAATAACCAAATATGAAACAGTTACCGCTTTGAACACTTTCTATTGTTATTTCAGACACAGAGCTCTCATTTATCGTCTTCAAGAAACAACGTAGGAATACTTGTAGTGCAAGGCTGGACGGACAGACAGAACTGACCTGTTGATAAGGCTGCTGATGAGGGCAGAACAGATGTCTTGTCCTTCCAGGATAAGGTTCCTGAAGCTCATCTGCTGCAGCTGATTCTGCAGGTCCTATGACAAGAAAGTCACATGTAATAAATGCTCATCTTACAACTGCATTACAGGAGGGAGGGAGGGGAAGAAAGAAAGAAAGCAGCCGCTGTCCATCCAAAAACAGTGAAATAAAACGACTTGAACTTGCCTATCTTCAAGATAATCTCCCATTTGACTATCATTAATAACCTAGATGTTGCTAGCAAATATTTCAGGCAGAATGTTTCATTACAGTTTCTAGCAATTGTTAGACAGCGCACATCCCATTCAGTAGCATCAGAGGGGTGTCAGAAAGTGCACAATGCTACTCGACCCTACAGTGAAATATCCAACAGAATCACGACGCGTGCATAAAACTGCCTCACCTTGCTCAGAACGCTCGCTATGACATGGAACTGGTGCTCACACACAATGCGCCACATGCCAAGCACTTCACAAGTATGCGTCACAAATGCTTTAAGAGAGTCAAGAGAACGCTTCTCTTCTAACTGGACCTCCTGATCCCGGTTCCGCTGTGGCGTTCGGCGAGTGGCTGACGTTTCGAAGGAGCTGTGGCCGATCTGCCGCAGCTGAATGTTCCTGCAAAGTGTTTCATCTCTGTCATCATCACTAAAATCCTGTCCTTGGGAGAGGTAGAATCTTATACTGAAAATGGGTTTCTTACCTTTCTGGGTATGTAAGTCAATACAAAGTGAACTTCAAGTGTTTGCAACACAAACACCTGTTTACTGTAACTAGTTTATGTGCAGGATTCTCAATGACGCTGTGACATAATGAGAGGTTGTGAGTTTACTCACATGATTCCAGAAACAGAAAACTGTGTATTCTTCTCCAGAAAGTTTCGTAAGGCCTGCAAGTGGCCCAACACCCAAACACAGTCCTCTCTTGATATAGATGTGCACAGCTGCAACACAGAATGTGCCTCCCTCACTCACTCAAAAGTATATTTATTCAGTTAGAAAATCACAAAGTCTATCCAACAAAAGTATCTTTTTCACATCTTCATGCCACTGGAGAACTCCCTAGTTCATACCAAGGACCATGAATTACACATGAAAACAGCCATTACTAAAGCAAAACACGAAACCCGGGCCCCCAGAATATGAGGCAAAAGTGCTATTGTCAAGCTACTGTAAAGAAGTTGATAAAACTTTGGTTCCTTAAAAGATGCAGAATTCGACTATCTGCGCAATTATTACTACTCAAAAATGATTCTGCTCTATAATGGTGTTAAAAATTGACAGTAAAGGGTCATAACTCATGAAGTCATGATATGTAACGCATAATTCAAGTGTTATTTAAAGGTTGGATATAGACTATGAATGTGCAAACTTAGCTGAAATGGTTGCGTATGTGAACAGAGACATGCCTCGTGGCTCTGTAAAAACACGCAATTTCTTACATAAGTGAGCAACGGGCAAGTGTTCACAGGAGATACAGTTAACTGAGTGTAGACAACATAGCAGACGAGATACTCACAAACTGCACCTTGTCCAGAGTCGCCTTCGTGATCACTCTGCGATTCCACACTGGCCGAACGATTCGCCCAACATACAGGTACAGCCCATTATGGCGGTGAGAATACTGCATGTAACCAGTGCCCATTACGGTATCAGATACATTTTGTTGTGGGCTGCCACTGCTGTGGGAATGCGCGTATGGAGTCGACATGATTGCAGGACTGAACGCTGAAACACCAGAGCAACTGAAGTTCATCTCTCACTTCACTTCACACAGCAAGGTTCAAGAAGGCAATGAAGTGCTCTGTGAATCTGACAGAACTGGGGTATGTCTGAAGAAAACATGAGACAAATCATCAATAGAAAGGATACCCATAGAAAACAACCAAAATACTTTGTAATGAACTGATTTTGATCCTAAGACAAATTCTGCTATTTTCCAACTCTTCAAAGAAACTAAATGCTTCCATCTTAAAAACAATGTGACTGCCACCAACCCAGTCCCCATATTTACATTTCTATGCGATGGATGGGAAGCGATTGATGTTTCACAAGTGTATATGGACCAATGGGAACAAACATTTGAACAAGAGGCTGTTTTTCACGCCAGTACATTCATCATGGAAGATACAGGTCTAGAACAATGGCAAACCAAGATTAAAGGTCCTTTAGAGGGCAACGTAAACTTGTTCTGTATCAGACGAATTTCATAGCACATAAAAAGAAACAAACAAAGAAAGGCAAATGCTGTCATACTTAATCAACATAACTGCAAAATTATTTATTTATGAGAAGAAAAAATCCTGCCCTTGTTAGGAATTGAGCCCGTCCTCCAACCTGCAGCGCCGTCATTATACCGACATATGACAGGAGCTGCACAGTCCTCAGAAAACATTGTCATCTTCCGAACTGAAATTACTCACCTCCGCCTGCCACAGAGTACTGGAATGAAGGGGACACAACAGGAGTGACTGCAGCTCTGACCTTGGGTTCACCTCCATACATAAAGAATGCGCGTGTTGCCCACTCTGCCACCTGCAGGTTCTGTGTACTCTGCAGGCACGCCAATATCAGACTGGTGGCACAGGCCTGTTCCTCCTTCTGTGTCTCAAAGAAGAGCTTCACCGCTTCAGCTTCTGGTCCGCGGTTCTCGACCAGTAACTGCCGCAGCAGGTCCACGGGCCGCAGCTTCAGCAAGATCTCCGCCCCCTGCACTCCCCACCAAATAAACAATCTCAAGCACAGCCAAAGAGATAAACTGCTTTACTCATACATAATGGAACCAAAGTTTCAATCCTATAGGCTGATAATTATTTTTGCAAAAATTTTGATAACAGGGCCATATTTCTACGTTGCTGGCAACAAAGACTTGCGCATATTGTAACATCAACAGGAATCTCGGCGGTAATGAACAAACTGATCTTGGTGAAATGACTTATGCACCATCCTGTACACTCATATTCTGCATGTTCCCTCAAGCAGACAAACATCTTGTGCTTGCTGCAAGACCCAAAGAACTGCAAAACAAAATGTGACTTTACGTACTTGCAAGAGGTTAAAAATATAACACCAGAGGGGTTAATGCTGCAACTGTAACTCAACCACAAACAAACGACTGTTACAAAAGTCCTGACCTACAGAAATATAGCAGGTATTACTATTATGCATTATTTGAGTACAAGCAAAAAATGAGCCTTATTTTGTATTTGTTTATTTGTTCATCCTGAAGATTACCGAACGCACTGAATTAAATATGGTACCGAGGATACGGCGAAATTCATACTGGTCAATTACAACCCTGCCTTTCTTGTAACCCCTAACAAATTTTATAAAATTTCTCAGCAACTGGAACCTTAAATAGCAAATAAGTGACAAGTACAGATGTCACTAAAGGCAAATTACCTGAACCTATTTGTGACATGCTGTATACTTAAGAACAGATGTAGATAAATAATACTTTGGGCCCTCTGCAGTGTAGCACATGCAGGTGAGGACATCACACGGCACTTGTTAGCAACTGAGCCTAACACAAACCTGCTGCGTCAGTATGATGTACTTCCTTGGGGATTCCATGTGTTGTCTAACAACCAGCGGAGGGTCTGGGACTCCAAATTCCTGAAAGCTGAGACTGGGCAGGACAGCCTTCACATCACCACCCTGAACCTCAGCCATCGCCCACACGACACCTTCAAGAGGCACCACAGTCTGCACCTCCACGAGGTACGGATGGAATGGGTATGGGTCACTCGACAGGCACCACAGCACGTCACGGTCACTGCCTGGTGCCGTCACCAGCAGCAGGTTCCCTGAACAAACAGCATTCCAGCTGAGACAGACGCTTCAGATGGCAACTCGATTAATGCTGTATAACCTATGTATCTGACATAAGTGTCATGAAATGGATCAAGGAACAATCAGCAATAAAATTGCCTGTTATTAAAACTGTAAGTGTAAAGTTTACCTCTTGACATATGCTTGGTAGCCCTCGGTGTCTTCGGCAGGCTCCTTGTTTTTGTAGTAGTGTAATCCAACATTCTTGGGGTCTACTTTGGACGCACACACAAGAGCCAGGTCCAGCACTCCCTCATAGAACTGACTGCTGTTGAACCACTGGCACATGATCTGCAAGTTGGCCTGCTGAGCCACACTCCTGCACAGCTGTAACCAGGAAATCGGTCATGTAGCAGCCCGCGGATAATCACAACAATGAGGGAAACCCCCGCTCGGACTTCCCGCACAGTAATAATTATATTGCAACATTTGGTGCAAACTGAAAGGGTGTACGCTGGCATCACCCACTGCTAGGTTTTGTTAACGGAAGGACACAAAAACTGTGACATTTCAGAGTTAAGTTTTCAGTGACTACAGAAGATTTTCACAAAAATGTAACTAGAAATGAACGGAAGACAAATAAAAGTCCAAGACCTGCAGAGCCTCCCGCAGTTTGGCCTCCCGTTCCTCCGGGTTCTTGATGCTTTTTGCACTCAGCAGCATCTCATTCGCCTGCAACAAAATAAACACAAAAACAGACTCTCAGTTGAGATCAAGATATCAGGAGGCCGTGATAAAAGCTTCAAGCAAACTGCCGTTACCTTCGAACAGGCAGCATCTTCATTCCTATAGAGACTGGGACACACCTCGCGTAGCTTGGAGCTAATTGCATCCACAGACGCATGGTCATTTAGGTACCTGCACACATGAAAGCAAGAAACCTCAAGATTCCTACAACGCAAGCCGTGACACACAGCCTATGGTTAGATTTATTTAATGACGCTGTTGGTAGCTTAAATTATATAGCCCCTAGTCGTAAGATGATGATGAATACCACATTGGGAAACACATAGAATGGAGGGGTCATGGCCTTATTTAGGATGCTATCCCAGCATTTCCCTGGAGGGACTGAGGTATATTACGAAAACCTCCGTCACAATAACCAAATATGAAACAGTTACCGCTTTGAACACTTTCTATTGTTATTTCAGACACAGAGCTCTCATTTCTCGTCTTCAAGAAACAACGTAGGAATACTTGTAGTGCAAGGCTGGACGGACAGACAGAACTGACCTGTTGATAAGGCTGCTGATGAGGGCAGAACAGATGTCTTGTCCTTCCAGGATAAGGTTCCTGAAGCTCATCTGCTGCAGCTGATTCTGCAGGTCCTATGACAAGAAAGTCACATGTAATAAATGCTCATCTTACAACTGCATTACAGGAGGGAGGGAGGGGAAGAAAGAAAGAAAGCAGCCGCTGTCCATCCAAAAACAGTGAAATAAAACGACTTGAACTTGCCTATCTTCAAGATAATCTCCCATTTGACTATCATTAATAACCTAGATGTTGCTAGCAAATATTTCAGGCAGAATGTTTCATTACAGTTTCTAGCAATTGTTAGACAGCGCACATCCCATTCAGTAGCATCAGAGGGGTGTCAGAAAGTGCACAATGCTACTCGACCCTACAGTGAAATATCCAACAGAATCACGACGCGTGCATAAAACTGCCTCACCTTGCTCAGAACGCTCGCTATGACATGGAACTGGTGCTCACACACAATGCGCCACATGCCAAGCACTTCACAAGTATGCGTCACAAATGCTTTAAGAGAGTCAAGAGAACGCTTCTCTTCTAACTGGACCTCCTGATCCCGGTTCCGCTGTGGCGTTCGGCGAGTGGCTGACGTTTCGAAGGAGCTGTGGCCGATCTGCCGCAGCTGAATGTTCCTGCAAAGTGTTTCATCTCTGTCATCATCACTAAAATCCTGTCCTTGGGAGAGGTAGAATCTTATACTGAAAATGGGTTTCTTACCTTTCTGGGTATGTAAGTCAATACAAAGTGAACTTCAAGTGTTTGCAACACAAACACCTGTTTACTGTAACTAGATTATGTGCAGGATTCTCAATGATGCTGTGACATAATGAGAGGTTGTGAGTTTACTCACATGATTCCAGAAACAGAAAACTGTGTATTCTTCTCCAGAAAGTTTCGTAAGGCCTGCAAGTGGCCCAACACCCAAACACAGTCCTCTCTTGATATAGATGTGCACAGCTGCAACACAGAATGTGCCTCCCTCACTCACTCAAAAGTATATTTATTCAGTTAGAAAATCACAAAGTCTATCCAACAAAAGTATCTTTTTCACATCTTCATGCCACTGGAGAACTCCCTAGTTCACACCAAGGACCATGAATTACACATGAAAACAGCCATTACTAAAGCAAAACACGAAACCCGGGCCCCCAGAATATGAGGCAAAAGTGCTATTGTCAAGCTACTGTAAAGAAGTTGATAAAACTTTGGTTCCTTAAAAGGTGCAGAATTCGACTATCTGCGCAATTATTACTACTCAAAAATGATTCTGCAAACTTAGCTGAAATGGTTGCGTATGTGAACAGAGACATGCCTCGTGGCTCTGTAAAAACACGTAATTTCTTACATAAGTGAGTAACGGGCAAGTGTTCACAGGAGATACAGTTAACTGAGTGTAGACAACATAGCAGACGAGATACTCACAAACTGCACCTTGTCCAGAGTCGCCTTCGTGATCACTCTGCGATTCCACACTGGCCGAACGATTCGCCCAACATACAGGTACAGCCCATTATGGCGGTGAGAATACTGCATGTAACCAGTGCCCATTACGGTATCAGATAGATTTTGTTGTGGGCTGCCACTGCTGTGGGAATGCGCGTATGGAGTCGACATGATTGCAGGACTGAACGCTGAAACACCAGAGCAACTGAAGTTCATCTCTCACTTCACTTCACACAGCAAGGTTCAAGAAGGCAATGAAGTGCTCTGTGAATCTGACAGAACTGGGGTATGTCTGAAGAAAACATGAGACAAATCATCAATAGAAAGGATACCCATAGAAAACAACCAAAATACTTTGTAATGAACTGATTTTGATCCTAAGACAAATTCTGCTATTTTCCAACTCTTCAAAGAAACTAAATGCTTCCATCTTAAAAACAATGTGACTGCCACCAACCCAGTCCCCATATTTACATTTCTATGCGATGGATGGGAAGCGATTGATGTTTCACAAGTGTATATGGACCAATGGGAACAAACATTTGAACAAGAGGCTGTTTTTCACGCCAGTACATTCATCATGGAAGATACAGGTCTAGAACAATGGCAAACCAAGATTAAAGGTCCTTTAGAGGGCAACGTAAACTTGTTCTGTATCAGACGAATTTCATAGCACATAAAAAGAAACAAACAAAGAAAGGCAAATGCTGTCATACTTAATCAACATAACTGCAAAATTATTTATTTATGAGAAGAAAAAATCCTGCCCTTGTTAGGAATTGAGCCCGTCCTCCAACCTGCAGCGCCGTCATTATACCGACATATGACAGGAGCTGCACAGTCCTCAGAAAACATTGTCATCTTCCGAACTGAAATTACTCACCTCCGCCTGCCACAGAGTACTGGAATGAAGGGGACACAACAGGAGTGACTGCAGCTCTGACCTTGGGTTCACCTCCATACATAAAGAATGCGCGTGTTGCCCACTCTGCCACCTGCAGGTTCTGTGTACTCTGCAGGCACGCCAATATCAGACTGGTGGCACAGGCCTGTTCCTCCTTCTGTGTCTCAAAGAAGAGCTTCACCGCTTCAGCTTCTGGTCCGCGGTTCTCGACCAGTAACTGCCGCAGCAGGTCCACGGGCCGCAGCTTCAGCAAGATCTCCGCCCCCTGCACTCCCCACCAAATAAACAATCTCAAGCACAGCCAAAGAGATAAACTGCTTTACTCATACATAATGGAACCAAAGTTTCGATCCTATAGGCTGATAATTATTTTTGCAAAAATTTTGATAACAGGGCCATATTTCTACGTTGCTGGCAACAAAGACTTGCGCATATTGTAACATCAACAGGAATCTCGGCGGTAATGAACAAACTGATCTTGGTGAAATGACTTATGCACCATCCTGTACACTCATATTCTGCATGTTCCCTCAAGCAGACAAACATCTTGTGCTTGCTGCAAGACCCAAAGAACTGCAAAACAAAATGTGACTTTACGTACTTGCAAGAGGTTAAAAATATAACACCAGAGGGGTTAATGCTGCAACTGTAACTCAACCACAAACAAACGACTGTTACAAAAGTCCTGACCTACAGAAATATAGCAGGTATTACTATTATGCATTATTTGAGTACAAGCAAAAAATGAGCCTTATTTTGTATTTGTTTATTTGTTCATCCTGAAGATTACCGAACGCACTGAATTAAATATGGTACCGAGGATACGGCGAAATTCATACTGGTCAATTACAACCCTGCCTTTCTTGTAACCCCTAACAAATTTTATAAAATTTCTCAGCAACTGGAACCTTAAATAGCAAATAAGTGACAAGTACAGATGTCACTAAAGGCAAATTACCTGAACCTATTTGTGACATGCTGTATACTTAAGAACAGATGTAGATAAATAATACTTTGGGCCCTCTGCAGTGTAGCACATGCAGGTGAGGACATCACACGGCACTTGTTAGCAACTGAGCCTAACACAAACCTGCTGCGTCAGTATGATGTACTTCCTTGGGGATTCCATGTGTTGTCTAACAACCAGCGGAGGGTCTGGGACTCCAAATTCCTGAAAGCTGAGACTGGGCAGGACAGCCTTCACATCACCACCCTGAACCTCAGCCATCGCCCACACGACACCTTCAAGAGGCACCACAGTCTGCACCTCCACGAGGTACGGATGGAATGGGTATGGGTCACTCGACAGGCACCACAGCACGTCACGGTCACTGCCTGGTGCCGTCACCAGCAGCAGGTTCCCTGAACAAACAGCATTCCAGCTGAGACAGACGCTTCAGATGGCAACTCGATTAATGCTGTATAACCTATGTATCTGACATAAGTGTCATGAAATGGATCAAGGAACAATCAGCAATAAAATTGCCTGTTATTAAAACTGTAGCACCTGAAGGAGCAAAAGGACAAATTGCTTTAACATCACTCCATCCAGATGGCTTAACTATTATTGTTTGAATGCGGCCAAAGGCAACTTACCTCGCTTATAATGGGCCATGTGCACTTTGGTGGGGCGGGGTGACGGAGCATTCGCCGCAAACCCCGGAGGGAGGCGAACGTGCATCAGCTGCAGTGTGTATGGTCTGATACTGACATTTGTCACTGAACTTGTCGTGAAGTACAGTCGAACGCCTGTCTGAGTCACGGCCACCAGGTTCAGGTGTGGGGACTCATTAACTTCTACTGCACACACACTCACCACTGGACGAAAGTTGCTGCCATCCAGCGTTCTGCAACGGACAACTTGGCAGCTACAATATTTATGCAAGTGCAATATGACATTAACCCTTGAAATTGGGCATGAAAGACCAAACACTTTTTACGCAAAGTAATTAAATGATGACAAAAAGGATATTGCATGATAGATCCCACAAATTACACATCTCACCAAATAGTGTTAGAGCAGGAAAAGAGAGAGAGAGAGAGAGCGCGAGAGAGAGACTTCATGTTCTTGTGCTTCAAGTGGCCATGTGTTCGTGTGTTAAATGTATAATAATTAAGAGGAAGCTACACACTTAGATAACTTACTTGACGATATTCACCGCGTGTTGCACGATGGTGGCCTGAGTCATGCTCACCACCTTGCTGGTAGACGTGCCCCCCTCACCCAGGTCAAACACCTCGACGCATCCCTTCTCTGTTAACGCGAACAAAATGTTGCGACTGTCATCTATGCTGATCTGCACTATGGGGTCCTCCTCACCAAATGCCAGATTGAGAAATGACGGCATCAAGAATGAGAGGGTTCCTGTGGAGTGGTTCACCTTCTTGCAGCGCTTTCCAAACCAACTGCCTGCTGCCTGGTAACAAAAACTATTCTTCATCTAGATGTAATTCATAAGTGGCTCTCATGTCCATTCTAGGCACACAAAGCCCAAATTAACGTAAGAACCGAGTACTAAAATAAAGGGCAATAAGTTCATCCCAGAAAAAATAAAAATGCTGGGCTCAAATCACGCAGACGTCATCTCCACTTTGCCAGTACGTGTGGTGACCTAGAAATATTAAAAAGGAAAAAAGGGGGTTATTTTCAAAATACAATTCCAGGAATAAGCACGTAAATTTTTAAGTTTTTAATATCTGCCATTGGATCCACCTGAGTAAATTAAAAAAAAATATTTTCTTAAAAAGAATCCAGGATTAAGACACACACACACACTAAGTGGCACATGCAACTGTGACTTTCATCACTACCTGCCTTCAACCACTTATGCCATGTTATAACTGAAGTTAAGTTCACCATGAGAAATACAACTGTATTTGAACAAGTGAACAGCGACCTTTTAATCACCATATTCTCCTAAGCTACAAACTGTCTTATCTGAACAACGGTGTACGTGATGCTGTCTGGCCCCTCCAAGCACACCATGTCATTAAAGGCAGGACTGTTGAAGATTAATGCCTGTTCAGAAAGAGCACAGAGTAACTCTGGATACAGTCAATGCGACATCATCTCTGACTGCATGTTTAGTTCAAAAAGAGCTGGTAATGAACTGACTGTTTGCATGCTGGGTGGCAGATACAGGATCATAATAACCCAGTGCTGAGAGTTACTTGGGATGAAAAATTAATTATGAATTATGAAGCACAAATTGCAGGAAAGTGAAAACTCTCAAGTCACACTGCAACAAGGAACCCCACAAGCCAAGTGCCTTACCTGATAAGCCACTTCATACAGACACCCATCATGCCCTCCAAGAAAGATTCGCCCTGAACTGGTGCTGGCAATCGTGTTGATGGCCACTCCATCGGTTGGCAACACGAACACAGGATCAGGCAGAAGATGCATTTCCTCCAACTGACCCAAAGGGCCTGAAACAATATCATCCCGTAAACAGTCATTTCAGGCCTTAACACATAGAAGTGGAAAACCGTTCCTTTCATAAAGTGGCTCCACTTCCCAAGTTGTCTTCCATGAAATAAAGTAAAATGTATGAAGACGGTTAATTCCAAATGGTTTACTATAGGAACAAACAGAATGATTCCATCCTTCTACAGATCTTCCTAAGTACCTCTCTAATTTGAACTAAAATCTGGGGATCTTTACGGAACCCACTCTACAAAATTGTCTTGTCAGCTGCTTATGAAATCTGTTAAATGCAACTTCATAATTTATAAACAACCTCTAGCACTGCCAAGATATTAATATCCCGGTATATTCTGGAAAGCAGACAACTGGAAGATCATGAAGATAATGGGGGGCATAGGTCAGATGAAACAGTTACACTTCTGTCTTAAATCTCAGCCAAGACACCAAGAGTCATGACAAACATTCTCTGTGGTTTCCCCCTCATTCTTCACAGGTGAATGCTGTGATAACACTTTGAAACAGACCACAGCCACTTCCTCCCCAGTCCTTTCAAGTTCAACAAACATAACCATTTTCTCAAATTATTCAATGCAAGGTAACTTCTGCATCTAATACAGCACAATTAAATACCCAGGATGGCAGGCTGCTGGAACTGCCTGAGGACAGTGTCCAGCAGTAAGCTTTCTAATACCCGTGTTAAACCATCAAGTTGTACCAGCGCAGTGAAACCTGCAATTCCAACTACGCTTATATCACCGTAGCCAGAAAGGATCACACATTCAACGCCACCTACCGTCTTTGGTCGCTGAGAACGTCACTCCGAGGACTACGATCTCAACAGTGGTGGTCAGAACCAGCAAGTGCTTCACAAAGTTATGGAACACCCCCAGCTTGGGCTTCACCAGACCAACACTCACGATTGTTTCTCCAAGACCATCAAAGTAGGCCACATCGGTCCTGAAACCACATCAGCCACACCAGGCATTGCAAGCACTGCTTAAATGTTCGTCATATCGCTGCAATCTGTCAAGCACGCTCATGGCATTTCCTAAAGGGAAATTTCTGAAGCACATTTCCATATGAGCCTTGGTGTTGCAGTAGCCTTTTGCTACAGGATTTGTTAGCAAACACTTTGCACACATGTACAGTTTCTCCCATGCTACATCCACATCCCTTCCCAATCCTGTGACCTAATTACCCTTATAACACAAAACAAACAAAAAAATTGCAAAAATATGTTTGTGTATTTGAATTTGCCTAACAGTTAAGTTAAACATTTGAGAAATACTTGAACAGCAAAAGACACACATTACTTTATGCTCTATAAGCAAGTTAGGAAATGTATGCATATCTTAAATGGCATGTTCACCAGGTCTAACAAGGATGCCGAATAAACTGAAAACAATAATTAGAAATTAATTTAAAATAGTCCATAGTTTACGAGCTTCCCTTATAAAAAAAATTATGTTGTGCTGGAACTGTCTTTCAGATGGGAAAAACAACATGCATTCAAGATGTTGATGGGGAAACCTCTCAGAAAACGGCCACTTTAAACAGAGGAAGTGATGGCTGACAATACTAAAATGGATCTAAATTAATCTCACAAAAATAAGTTACAGACTACAGATGAATGCTTTTGAGGTCTTTGGTTCAAACACCAACAACGTAACAGCAAATCTTACCCATGTTCATAAGTCCACACGTAGATGTCACTGTCTATAGTGAGCCATGCTCGATTGATTTCCGTAAACAGTCCCATCATGCAATGGCACTGCATGTCTGCACCCAGTTATGGAAAGCACTTAGACTAAGTGTTATGTACTAGGAGGACAATGTTTACATGGGTTATATGACGGTCTGAATTGGATTTAGCTGGCTCAGGTTAGTGTTCAGCATCAGACATTTGAGAACTATGTAGTAAATCTTCAGGCAAGATAAAACCTAACAGCCAAATTCTTACAAGGGACTCTGCCCTTCATAATCAGTTAGTTTGTGTATGTGTTACCTATGCAGGCAATATGACCAGAAAGTCTTCAAAATGCAGTACTTTATGACGTCCATTAATTTGTGATCAGTCATCTGATGTGCATTTGCCATGTATTGAGAACACTGTGTCAACCTGTATATAAAATTCATGTCTAAACATTGGTCCATACCAGTACAATGTAATCACAAATTTATGAAAGTCCAAATTAAACTACTTCAGTTTTCACAAACCCAAATGAACTCACAAAATATTCATACATATAAAAGTTATAACCTCATTAACATACGTAATTTCTTTTAACCATCTGCATGGTGTATGTTTAATTAAATATGACAGCTATATAACATTGTATGCGATTTTAAACTTTCATGATGATTTGCTATTAACTTTGATCACAGTTTTGGGTGCTGGCGCAGTGCGCAATTGGGCTGTACTGCAGGCGTTTCAGAGGAACATCAATACCAAACTCCGTGACCTGATCCATCTACTATCCCTCTATGAACAATCTATTTCTACACTTCTTACTTCAGCCCTGATGATGGAGGCAGTATACTCCTTAGAATGTTGGTATCCATTTAGAAGTACACAGAATGAAACAACCAAGATGACCAACATTAGCAGGAAATTTGTAACGACGGGGCAATCCACAGCGGCACATACAATCTGATTGATCTGAGAGTTATAGGAAACTGACATCTTGTTATTATGGGGGTGCATTAGGATGGAGGAACTGAGAAAAAACTTGTCACTCTTTAAGAAAAGGATACGACCAAAGTGCTCCATCACTTCTGGGGGAAGAGGAACCTTGTTGGTAGTGGTGACATGCTTTACATTAGACAGCCCAGACAGCAAGCCATTTGCACTTGGGTAGTCCATATCATTCAAACCGCTCACTGTTGCAACTCCTGCAACCAAACAGCATCTTTTACATTTGTCCATACATCTCTTTAGGGCTGAATAGGATATTGGTGAGAACACTAAACAATGATGATTTAAACAGTAAATGAAAATTATTTAATATTGCAAAGGAATCTGAAAATGTTATAGATTGAAACAGAGATATTAATACGCATCAGAGATAGAATATGTCCAACTGTACTACTTTAATGTAAAAACACTCCATGTAGACTTGAAAGCAGTATATGCACTAGTATGATAGAGAATTGTTCCAGTCTCTGAATTTTTTAAGTACGCCACTTGTTATTTCGATGACTGGCAGAATAGCAGCAATCAGTGGCAAGCCAATCTTCAATCCCAATAGAGTTCCCAACAAATTTTCTGCGGGAAACGTTAAAAACATACCTTGTGGTGCGATCTGAGTAACATCAACTAAAGTTGGAAAGTTGCTGTCCATTGCCAGGTATTTTTCCAACATTTTCCCAGCCGTGTCCAGTATATCTATAGGAGCCCGCATCGTGTCCATGGCTGGCATAAAGAAAATATCTGAAACTAATGGACAAATGATTGCATTTAGAACGTGACTGTCGAAGTGTTAACACAGTTAACTCGTTAATGGAGTGCTTTACCCCATACTATAAGATACATACGGTGCTATAAAATATATGTATACAGGAAACTAATACACTCTCAGCTGCATTTATGTAAATCTAATACTAGCATCTCGCCAGTCCGGACAAGGACATAACCTAAATAACGTCGAAAGAAGACTTTACCGCGCCTCGTATTTAGTCAACGATCACCACATTTACTACCACAGATACAACGCTCAGAAGATTTTCGAAAATTTATCCATAAGAGGGCAAAGTAATCAAACGCAGGTTGACCAACAGTATGAAATAATATTAACTAAGGTTATGTATGTGTAAAATGTAGTTAGATATTTCTCAATAAAAATATATAAACTCTAGTTGTGTTAGTGTATTGGTTATGTCACAGATCCTAACGACTATAAGCTACTGAGTACCCACGTGTGTTTGGAATCAGTTGATTTTGTCACAAGAACACAATCTGCACATTTGTTGTGCACTGCATTTTAAGAAGATTAAAATTTACTTGATCCAGACTCATGAAGACTCTGAGCATAACCTTCAAAACTTTATGTTATGTGAAAAACACTTACCAATATAACGCACTAAAACCCCTGTTTACTGTTGTACCAAGGAACGTTCCAGAACCAGAATTGGATATAGACTACTTATGTAATTTAAAATATAAATTAGAAATAGAAGAAAATATTAAACGTAGAAAAGGAGTTGGAAATATTAACCGCGTATTTGAACTGCACAGAAAATTACAAAATGACACACTCAGTGAAGAAAACAGGATGGATTTAATGAAAGAATTCAAAGAGGCAGCAAAACAAATACCAAACAAGACATGCCCCTTGGTAGCACTTTATGATGATAGTCCTAAAGTAGTTAAAGTCATAGGAAATAAAACCAAGTTTGATTTTCAACCAAAGGAATTCAGTGATATTGCTAAAATGTTGCATTTGATGAGAACTGACAATCTTTCAAATATGTCAGGTCATAAAAGTTATTACTTCATGGGTGAATTAGCAGAAATGGAACAGGCCCTTGTGTGGTTCACAGTGAAGAAACTATTGGCAAGCAATTTCCAGCTTATATCTGTTCCTGACATTTTGCCTTGCCAAATAATTGAAAGCTGTGGCTTGACCGTAAAAGAAGACAGGACCCAGGTATGTGGTTCAGCTTATGCCCTTCTGTGAGGTATTTCTACTACTATTGGTTGGGCACTGCATATTCTGACTCAAGATTTTCGTGCGTTTCCTTAGTTTCTCCGAGGTAATTGCAGGATAGTACCGCACTGCATATTCTGACTCAAGATTTTCATGCGTTTCCTTAGTTTCTCTGAGGTAATTGCAGGATAGTACTCCTAACTGGTTCCTCCTTGATTCACAATTGTTGCATGTATTATTAGATGCTGCATAATGTCACCAATGAACAGAAAGATATGAACTTACTAAATAAATAATACTTATGAAATGATATTTTAAATTTTCACAGCAGTTTATGATGTCATTGTTACCAACATTTTGAGAGGGATGATACATTCCTCTGAAATGCAAGATTACAATGTTTTTTTATGAAAGCAGGTGGTTACTTATATTAACAAATTATACTTATTTTCAACTCTCATGTGTTGTTTTGCAACTTGCAGCTACCTGCCATATCTTATTTAATTCCTACACTATGTACATGGTACAGGATTTTCTGTGAGTAGTTACACAGCTGGCCAAAGAATGCCTAATGCAGAACCTAACGTCTGTCATCTTATTTAGAGGACTGTTGGGCCCGACTGAAGGTAAACAATACAATTAGTTAGGGATTCACATGGTTTTAATACTTTTCCTCTAGGTGTACATGCTAGATGACCACTTATATGAGGGAGACCATTGTCTGTCGGGCACAGCGGAAATGGCACTAGCTGGTTACCTCATGAACCGAGAGCTTTGCGTGACAGAACTGCCTCTGAGACTTGCTGCAGTTAGCAGGTGCTACAGGGCAGAAACATCTCGCATGTCAGAGGAGAGGGGTATCTACAGGTAAGTTTTATCGCACTTGTCACAGGTGTGTCCAGTGCAGCAGTTCCTATAGATTTATGAATAAGAAATCCCACAAAGTTACATTTTATTTACAAGAATTTTCTTTTCTTTCACAATCCAAGTGATACCAGACATCCTAGGTTCAGACAAATTTCCTAAAACAGGTCACAGTTCTGTCCACTGTGCTCTTCCTAATTCATTGTTCATAACCATCCTGAACCTGTCATTTGATGCCATGTAACTCATTCAGTTCATGATCTTTGTGCATGGAATACACACTTCGCTTTATAGAGTTCACCAGTTCACAAAGGTGGAGATGTTTGGGGTGACAGAACATGACAGTTCAGCAGCATTGCTGGAGGAGTTTCGAGAGCTGCAGGAAGAAACATTTTCATCACTGGGGCTTCATCTTCAGACTCTGGACATGCCTCCCCATGAATTAGGGGCACCTGCTTTCCGAAAGTATGACATAGAAGCTTGGATGCCAGGAAGACAAATGTTTGGTGAGGTAATATCTCTGTTGCCAGTTGCACTTTCTGGGGATTATAATGAGCCCGACTTCAGTGGTTATTAAAGAGTTCGGCTTTACTTACTTTTTCCACTATTTCATGCTTCCTGTAGGTGTCTAGTTGCAGTGACTGCACAGACTACCAGTCCCGCCGCCTCAACATCAAGTACCAGCCAAGAGATGGTGGCTCCAGTTTACATGCGCACACATTGAATGGGACGGCCTGTGCTGTACCCAGGATGCTGATTTCTCTGTTGGAAACACACCAGCAAGCTGATGGAATAGTTGCAATACCTGAACCTCTTCAGCCTTACATGAAAGGCAAAGTTGTCATCGGTTTCCAGGACAATATCCCAGAAATGAAGTTTGTCAAGTCAAAACACAAAAAGGATATTCACCGAGACCAGGACTAAATATCTGTGGACAGCTGTCTATGACTTTCTCTTCAAAGAAACCTTACCACATAGCACAGCATTGTAAAATCAGTACTGCTCAAAGACTGTTACATGACTTATACTGGGTCTATGTGCCATATATCACCATTTTGCCTAGCTCGAGAATTGTACATTGTAAAGCATTCTTTGTCGATAAAATGAACACCACAGATGAGAGTATTAGTGCTGTTCAGTGTAAAGAAATGTCTTCTGTAACTATAAAGTGAAATAAAATAATACAAAAGGAGTCTAAAACAAATTATTTAAAGGTATAGGATCAATTGTTCACTTTTCTGACACAAATTTTAATAACATGAATATGTATGCAGAAGAGAAATTAAATAGAGAGAAAAACTACTCGTGTATGAAGCACAATTTTACCAAAATTATTCTTTCTTAACATCAGGGTCCATGTAATACATAAAACTGTATGTCTGTCCTCACGGACCTTCAGGAATCCACTATGATACAAAAGAAATGGACTTTATGCTTCAGTGACTAAAACATAAGTAAATAACACACCTATATTGCTCCAGATATTTTTCATTTATGTAAGATGGAGACAGTATGTTTCTCCAAAACGTTGGCATCTAACTCAAGTACACACTGGGCCACCTTGGGTCATGTATGTACTAGTAGCACGCATCAAGGGGCACCCACCCTACCTCCATGCTGTGCATCAGAGCAGACATCAGGGCAACATGTCTTGTTTCTGAAAATAAAAATGTGAAGAGTGGGCACACTTCTTATCTCGGTGTTATGTCGGCAAATCCGGAAGGTAACATAAAAACACTTTTTCGACAGCTGCTCTCTCAAAAGCCCTGAGTCTCGAGAAATAAAATTATGTGATTAGCCCCATCCTATTTGTTGGTTTAAAACCTATTATTATACAATACAGCAAAAGAGGTTCATATATCACAACATTTGAAAATTTGTTGCTATGTTATCCCAACACAGAATAATGCCGCAGCTTTCACAAGAGACTAATCACACAAAACTTTTATTTTTCCAGCCATTAGGGCAAAATCAGCTTCCAGACAAACTGTCATACACCTCTGCTATGCTTGTATTCACTTAAAATTTCAGGTACCCTAGAAAATGCTTACAGAATTGTATATAATGACTGTACCATCTGTTCTTATTGTGGGTTTCCTCTTCTCTGCATATTATAACAATGTTCATTACACGTTGACCATGAACTGTTTGCTGACTTATAGTGAAGATCATTTATGCTTCTCTAAACACAACTTGACCCCACATTATGCATATAACAAATAATTTTTAATATGTTTAGAACTGGGCACATGAAGCAAGCCATTTGTCAGTCAACAGATCAAAACAAAAACATTTACATGGAATAAAATTCATATTCAACATTCTACAGGATGAGCAGTGCAAAGTCATTTTTATGTTCCACTTCAGAAAATAACTGCTTTTACAATTTCAACTCTCCTTAATATTTTAGTTGGTTTTTCTTCACTACTTAAAAATAGTACTTTACATTTACAGTATTTCTTTACAATCCCACCCACTCACCACATATTTCGCTGTACTCTTATCCTTGGGGTTGTTGAACCCCTTGAGTCATATGTTTCTTTGTTGTCTCTGGACCCCAAGCAGTAAGGTCCTTTCATGAACACGACAACTAATGTCTTCATTAAATAATTTGAAATTCCTAAAAAAATATGACAAAATTAATTTTCAGTTTGCTGCATTTCCTTTACACTGACATTCCTACATGTATCAAGTACTGATGGCTGATTTTGTGTTACTAAGAATACAATATCAAATTAGTTTGACCCAAAATCCAATATGGCAGGATGCGACAAACATCCTTGAGAAAAAATGTAACTTTTCCCTTCTTAATCAAAGGCAGAGCATTTATATAAATATACATACTCATCAAAGGGTTAAACATACATTCCAGTCCATGGAGTATGTAATTTGAACATATCTCTGTGAATCAGGTTCTGGTAGACTTGCAATTATCTCATCCAGCTTATGTTTAGGCCTGATTTTCTACTTCACGTAAGTTACAAGATGTCACCAAGTTGCAAATTATTATATTTTAATAAGTTCCTACTTCAGACATACCCCTATTTAATTTTTTGAACACAGCCTGACAATTCTCACATCACTGTACACAGCAGTATGGTTAATTAAATTTTGCAAAGAGGATAATTAAATATACCAACACTAGTAACTGCCACTTATTTGGGCTCTTCAATATGTCTACGTGTATGTCTGTTGAGATCATATTTCTTAGCAAATGTCTTTCCGCAGTGCTTACATTCATGTGGGCGTTTTCCTGAATGAAGATCTGAATGTTTCCTCAAATTATCAAGCAATGCAAATGTTTTATCACACACCGGACACACATGTGGTCTTTCCCCAGTATGCGTGACACAGTGATTATGCAGGTCTCGGCGCCGATGAAATCCCTTGCCACAGATTTTACAAACAAATGGTCGTGTTCCAGAGTGTAACACAGAGTGGGTCTGAAGATTTGCACGCTGCGAGAAACACTTTCCGCACACAGGACAGACATGAGGCCTTTCTCCAGTGTGAGTCAGCTGATGTGTCTGCAAATTACTTGCCTGGCTAAACGTTTTGGAACATATCTTGCATACGTGAGGTCGCTCGCCTGTATGGGTCAGTACGTGGTCCCTCAAGTGAGTGATTCTGCTGAAACTCTTTGAGCAAACGTCACACGAATACGGCTGTTCTCCAGTGTGAATCAATGCATGTCGTTTGAGGTCTATCAAATGTCTGTAACTCTTATCACAGTCCTTACAGTCATACCGTTGATATTCTGTGTGTATTCGGTAATGTCTTCTAAGATTCACTCGATTTCCAAATCCCTTATTACAGATGTAACAAACATGAGGAAGATCACTAAAATGTCCAATAAAACCTCGTTCACCAGCAGAAATAAATGGCAATGTAACAGAAGTGTGGCAATTAACTGCAGTCACAGAATCTGAATCATCATCATCATGTACTTCAACACTGTCACCTGTGACATTTCCAAACTCTTCACTCCCATGGTTCATGCTCATACCTGCTTTTTTCCCTGAACACAGTGCTTCATCCTTATCTGAAAACTGATTTGTGAAGACCACTGAGCTGGAATACCAAGATCATACATTACAAATAATATTAAGCTTTCACAACTCAATGAAGCTCTCCCATAATATGAAACATGTAATTATGGAAATGATGTACTTTAATGACATAATGACACAATTCACAGTTTAAGCAACTTCATACACCCAGTCACAACTTAACTCTTCAGCACTAAATGCACAACACATTAAATTTAAATTCCCTGTAAGAACATTTTATGTAATGTGTGGTGTGTTTAAAAGGGGCAACTAAATTTCAAAATTAAAATATGATGCTCTTGCATTTTTGGAGACTCTTACTAGAGAATTGAATGGTGTGCACTTGACTTCAAATAGTCTCTGGATAATACTACTTTATACCTTGGGAAGGAGACGAGGTTCTGATTGAACAGGGATCCCAGAGGAAGCTGGCAATGGAGGAACAGCGAATCCCTATCCTGCACTCTGTAGTCATTCACTTACCTGAAAGCACTGAAACAGTCTTAAAAAAAGCACTTTACCAATTTCTGATCAATATTTTGGCACGGGATATAAGTAAGTCGATTTTATTTCTGGCTGAATTTTAAAACTATTGAGATTTAGTCTCACACTGAAGGACAACGTAATTTCCTAAGTCTCTCAGAGAAACCCTCTTAGAATCTATTTCCATGCATGGCAAAGTAACAACACCAAATTCATAGCAATGAAAGCATTCATAATTAAACTATATATTACA